TTCATCGGAAGGATCATGTGGAAGTGGGGTCCGCTACCACAGCTCTGTTTGCAAAAAAGGACGTGGACGACAATATGGTGGGTGTCGGTTTGACCAGGCATCTTCATCACAACACCTTACCCAAACTCCATGCCCACTTCCTACATGGGCTGCCTGGATGCCACCCTACTTGTCTACCCCCGTGTCCCTACCCCACTACACCAGGCGCCTCTCCATCTATGAGCTCGCTATTTGTTGCCATTCGGGCCCCCTGTCTGCAAACACTAACTATTGGACCCGGATAGTCCCATATGACCAGCTACCTTCCCTAAAAAATTCATGCTTCCATGAGGAACACAATGACACTCAACCCGTCCGATGATAGTTGGTACATGGACACCGGGGCTACCTCTCACTGACGTCGGACTCAGGTACTCCCTCCTCTTTTATTAATACGACCTCTAAAGGTAGCATCGTGGTTCGAAACGGTTCATCTATTACTGTTTTATGTCACGGTCATACATGTTTCTTTTATCTATTTCCCCGACTTAAACTCTTTAATGTCCTACACGACCCACATATTATTAAAAATTGAATTTCTGTATGAAAATTCACTATTGATAACTACGTGTCCATTGAATTTGACCCACTTGGTTTGTCTATGTAGGATCTTCATACAAGTACCCCGATCATGTGGTGTAATAGTCAAAGTGATTTGTATCCAGTGTGTGTCCTCCTCTCCAACACCAATTCACATCTCACCCACTTTGCAACCTCTCGTCAGCTACTTGGCACAATCAACTCGGACACCCCAACATTCCAATTTTTTTAGTCATAGCACTAATAATCTCATTGATTGTAACAAAACATATATTGATGTTTGTCACTCTTGTCAAATGGGAAAACATAATAAATTTCTCTTCTCCCCACCGTTATCATATACTCACGTCCCCTTTGAAATCATACACAATGACACGTGGACTTCTCCAATTTTAAGTTTCACTGGTCACTCATATTATATTCTTTTTCAAGATGATTTTTCCATTTTTTGTGGATTTATCCCCTAAATCGCAAATCCGACGCGTTTTCTACATTGGTGCAATTTTACACGTTTGTGCAAACTCAATTTCAAACAAATATTAAATCCTACAATGTGACAATGGCCATGAATTGAATACTTCATTATTTCACAATTTTTGCATCACACATGGGACCTCCTTCCGCTACTCATGTCCATATACCTCACCTCAAAATGGTAAAGCGGAATGCAAACTACGCTCTATAAATAATATCCATCGTACCCTTCTCCTTCATGTGTTCGTCCCCTTCCACTTTTGGTGTCATGTTGTCTGCATGGTCACATATCTCCATAATATTCTCACATGCAAATCCCTCACCCTTTAAATCCCCTACCATAGTCTTGTACCATAAACAACATACTTACTCTCATTTGCGCATTGTTCAGTTGCTTATGCTACCCTTATCTCCTTCCTATCACAAACTTGCCGCTCACATTACTCCTTGTGCCTTTCTCGGTTTCCCTACTCAACATAAAAGATATAAATGCCTTGACTTATCTACATGCCACATCAACATTTCCCAACACGTTACATTTAACAAATCCATTTTCTACTTGCAACAACCAAAACTGCCCATCCCCCTAACTCTGTGTCTGCCTCCCCATCCCCATATTTCATATCCCACTTACTATCCCTTCCAACCAACCAAGTAAATCCAACATAATCTCCAAATTATCATGACTCTAGCCCACCATCACCCACTACTACCAAACCACCACAACCATCCATCCCACCCACCATCCTATGATTACCCATAACAAAGTCATGATATTCCCTCTCAAACAAATCTATGTGTTAACACACCCAAGCCCTCATACCCATCACACCATTACCACTTCCCAAATTCCACCTACATACCCCAAGTGATGCTAACTGGAAAGAAGCTATGATTTCACATTTACAGCTCTTATTAATAATAAGACGTGCGAGTTGGTTCAACATCCCCCAATGCTAATATCATACATTGCATGTGGTTGTTTAAAAATAAATACATGTCGAACGGGACTCTTGAGCGCCATAAAGCACGCTTAGTGGTCAAAATTAAATCTCAATGTCCTAACATTGATTGTGTGACACTTTTAACCATGTGATTAAGCCGACTACCATTCACATGGTCCTCATCATTGCCTTTCTCACTCTTGGCCTTTTCATCAACTTGATGTCAAACAACGCTTTCCTCCATGGCTTTCTTAGCTTGATGAAACAGTCTATATATGCATTAGCCATACAAGTTTAAAGACTCCTCACGCTCGTCACATGTGTGCCTTTTAAAAATAATCTTTATATGGTTTAGAACATGCCCCCCAGGCGTGATACCACATATTTGCCACACAAGCTGCCAAGCTGGGTTTCACACAAAATAAAGTTGATCACTCCTTGTTCATATATCATCATGGCAGTGTTACGGCCTATCTATTGCTATACATGGACAACATTATACTCACCGCTTCATACCATCACCACTCCCTAAATCCCACCTACATTCCCTAAGTGACCCTAACTAGATAGAAGCTATGATTTGTGAATTTGTAGCTCTTATTAATAATAAAACACGAGAGTTGGTTCTCCGTCCCCCTAATGCTAATATCATACATTGCATGTGGTCGTTTAAACATAAATACAAGTCGGGCGAGATTCTTGAGCACCATAGAGCACACTTAGTGGTCAACGGCAAACCTTAACGCTCCGACATTAATTGTGATGACACTTTTAGCCCTGTGGTTAAGCTGACAACCACTTGCATGGTCCTCAACATTGCACTTTACCACTCTTGGCCTCTTGATCAGCTTGACGTCAACAACACTTTCCTCCATGCCTTTCTTAATGAAATAGTCTAGATGCATCAACCACCCGAGTTTAAAGACTCCTCTCGCCGCCAAGCTAGGTTTAACAAAAAAAATGGTTTTAAACAAGCCCCGCGAACATGGTACCACAGGTTCTCCACATATGCCGCCAAGCTGGGTTTCACACACAATATAGTTGATCACTCCTTGTTCATATATAATCATGTCGGTGCTACAGTCTTTCTATTTCTATACATGGATGACATCGTACTCACCGCTTCCACACCAACACTGCTCGATACCCTAATCTCTTGGCTTGGTGTGGAATACTACCTCAAAGACTTGGGTCCCCTTACATACTTTGTTGGCATCACCGTAACACGTCAAGCTGGCAGCATCTTCCTCTCACAACAAAAATATGCTGCGAAAATCCTTACTAATGCTGCTATGACTTCATGCAACTATGCTCACAGTACACTTCAGTTGATGCTTGGTGCTGACACCAGCTGACAAAGCTTGGTGCTGACATCAGCCCTCCTGTGTCCGATCCTACCCTCTACCACAATTTGGTAGATGTTTCAGCTTTACCCGTCCGGATCTTTCATACGTCGTCCAGTGAATTTTCCTCCACATGCACAACCCCCAACTTGCTCACTTTGATGCTCTTAAGCAAATTCTTCGACTATGTTAAATACACACTCTTACACGATCGTCATCTTCGCTCTTCTCCAACGACTGACTTAACTGCATACACCGACGCTGATTGGGGCGGATGCCCGGACACCTGCCGCTCCAGGCCACATACGGTTATTATGTCTTCCTAGGAGATAATCTTCTCTCTGGGTCCTCCAAGCGCCAGACTACTATTTCCCGATCCAGCGCCAAAGTTGAATACAGTGGTGTAGCAAACGTAGGGGCCGGATTATGTTGGTTACATAATCTCTTGCTTGAGCTTCGTCATCCCTTTTTACGGTGTCCCTCGTGTACTGCGACAATGTGAGCACCATATATCTCCCAAAATCCAGTCCAACATCAAATAACGAAGCACATTGAAATGGACATCCGTTTTATTTGGGAAAAGGTTGCTCTCGGTCACATCCGTTTCTTGTACGTTCCTTCTCGCTTCCAATATGCGAATACATTTACTAAGGGCATCCCTCGAATCTTGTTTGATGAATTTCGATCCAATTTGAATGTTCATCCACCCCACGTTCAAAATGTAGGGGAGTGATAGAATTATCATGCCATGCATGACCATGCATCATGCACACATAACAACCTGCTCGCCGAAGGTTTCACATGCTAGCTCACAACTCATTTATTAATTTTTAAATAATACCCACTCATTCGATTATGTACTTTGACTACTTTTCCGTAGTCTTATCACATGTAATCCAATTAGATAACTAGTTTACTTTGATACAATTACGTACATAGTTATCAATTAGCAATTGTAAATGTTTACACTCGCTATTTATACTGAATGAATAACACACTGATATATATGGTGAATACTATTGACTTTCAATTGTTAGCGTGAATTAACATGGGCGGAGGTACAAACTTGCAAATTGTTTGTATTTTTAGTGTAAAATTATATGTGTAAAAATTTATTTGAAAAAATTTCTTTGTATCGGCTCACCCAACCTTTAATCCTGACTACGCCACTATGCATATCGTATCTCTTTTGTAATTATTCCAAATTTAAATGAGGTCATTTTTAAGTAATTTCAATTAATTACAAAAATGTCTTATTAATTCTAGCTATTGATTACAAATATGAAAGATAGAGATTAAAAGCTCTTATTCATAAATGAGTTCAATCTCAATTTAAAAGGGGTTCTTACTAAAGCCTACCCATATGCTAATACTATCGTATACAATTATAATCATCTTTAATCATAAGAGGTGGATCAAGTACAAACTATGCATATTGTTTAAATGTTTGCACGATGCATTTTTAAACTTTTTGCATTGCATATTGAGATTCACAGTGTTGCATATTATTTTGTTATCAAATAATAGTTGCATATTAATGTTCAAAGAGTTGCATTCCGAAAAAGTTTGATTTTATTACAAAAATGTCATCTGATCTTGTCTTTATCGTCTTTAGATTAACGGACGACTGAAATTATATAAAAGAACAAATTAAACCGACCTAAACAATTAAATTTGACCTCCAGTATCCCCTCTTCATCAATTCAACGATGCTGTGATCTGGAGTCCCCACTATAAAGCCTGCATTGAATTCAGAAGCTAGCTCTAAGTATGTTGTTATAATGAGTACGTTTGAAAATACCGAAATTGACTGTATTGAATGAGTATGACGAAATTTATGAAGTTGTTATTATTAAAGTGACTGAATTGACTGATTCTGCTGATTTATGAAAAAAAATATTTAAAATATATTTTATTAATAAGATAAAGAAAAATTATATGAATATGACTAAAACGATCTTCTGCAGTAACTCCAGTCAATACTATCAGAAAAAGTATTTCAAGTCTCAACCTTACTTTTTCTTATCATTACACAGTTCAACGCGCGAAATAAAAAAGTATGCGTCTGGTAAAAAAGTCGACTAATAAGCCGAAAAACAGAGTCATCAAACGGCTCTATTAGAACCTAATTATTACATAGTACTCATTGGGGTTCCTTAGCTTAAAACTTGAATTGGTACCCTTATCAAAGTTCTAAATTTTATGCTTTTGCGGAATCGGAGTATGTTTAACAAAAGAACTTAGTTTTATGCTTTTGTGGAATCAGAGTATGTTTAACAAAAGAACTTTTTCATATTCTCTTATTATAAATTATTTCATACACTACTACACGTTTGGTCAAAGCATATTTTTGTCTACAAATATGAAATATATGGTTGGTCAAATAATTTTGTATATTACAAATATTAAAATTCCTTATTATATGTTTCGTTATTGGTGAACATTTAACATTTGACCATGCCAAGAAAATTAAAGGTGATGAAGTCTTAAGAAATGAGAGGGATTACATGATGCTCCGTAGTTAACAAAATCTGAAAAGAAATGATAAATGTACTCCGTATTAGACTATTAGACTATCAGTAACTTTTTTGTTTTCAAAACCTGATTAAAAGAAATAATGTACTACTTTTGTCCCTTTTTATTTAGCCATATTTGACTTTTTTGGTCAAATGTGATAAAATTTGATCCATTATTTTAACTAATTAATATATGTATGTGAAACTTAATAAATTTATACTTTTATGATAGTATTAGTAACAAAGAGCATTTTGATATCATTTTCATATTCTCAATATTATAGTGTATAAATATATAACCGATCGAATATGTCTTCTGTGTTTTGTTTCTGAGATGATATTTACCTAGTATATATTGGGTGTGCATAAAGAAAATCAACAATGGATCTAAAAGATATGTTCACTATCAATAAGGAATTTAAAAGATAAAATGTTTAGATACATGGCTCGAGTGATTGAAAACTTTCAATCTATTTTTTTTATTTATCAAAAAGCTTTCAACTAAGATCTAAAATTTCATAAACTTTAATATTTTTATATTTTAAAAAATTAAATATTGTTAATCTTGTTAATAAATAAACTTTAATTTTGTGAAGAAAAAACCATGAAAAGTGAACAAAGGGATTGGCAAAAAATAAAAAAAAAATCAAAATTTATGATATTTTAGATCTTAGATTGATACTATTCAACCATTCAGACCCTTTATTGTCATACTTCAGATTAAAAGTAAAAGTATCTTTGATCTTGAATTGATAAAATTTCTTAAATGAATAAAGAAGATTATTAACCAAAGAAGGTCATAACCAACAAATATTATGGTTGGTAAATGCTATGATTGCTAATTGCTATCATAATGTATTCATATTTGGGCAAAGAGTATATTTGAATTAGTTATAAGTAAAATTTCCATGTTTATGAGCCCGTTTGGAGAACTCTGTTTTCGGCTTATCAGGCTTATCAGCCAGATTTTTCACCAAACACGCAACTTTTACTTTCGCGCGCTGAATTGTGTAATAAGCCGAAAAAGTAAGGTTAGAGTTACTTTTCTGGCTGTATTGGCTGAAGTTACTGTAGAGGACCATTTTAGCTATTTTTACATATAATTTTTTCTTTAATTTATTAATAAAATATATTTTTAAAATATTTTTTTCTTAAATCAGCAGAATCAGCCAAAACAGCCACTCCAGCCAGAATATCATAAATTTCAGCAGAATCAGCCAAAACAGCCGATTTTGGTGCTACCAAACGGGCTCTATGTGTGAAGTAGTGTATACTTTATTTACCAATCATAAACAGTGGGAGAGTTGGAATTCTTGGGCTTGTCAAAGACATCAGCACCAATGGACTTGGTAGCGAGGTTGCTGCCGGGGTGAAAAACGCTCCTCCACACGTTGTCTTTACGCGCTGCCGTTGGGGATGGTGTAGTTGGTGTCGCCGGACCAACAGGGCTGCCCGGCATCGCCCCCTTTTGGTATTTGCTGCTGGACCCTTCTCCCACCCCACCATGATCTGTACATAATGCATACATTTCATTGAATTGCATGCACCCACAAGTCATAATTTTTTTTTGCTAAATTTACTATTCTTAAATAATGAAAGTCGATTAAAGATATTTTTTATACGCAATTATTTTGAATATGAAAGTTATATCAAAATGTTCGGAATAAGAAAAGTCAATATGACACCTTTTTGGGATGTAGGTAGTATCTTTTGGTATAAAAACATGAGAATCATGTTTTACTCCTAGATGGTGCTAACCTCCCCCAGCTCCCTTAAGATTCTATGACTAAATTCTAGTGGAAAATATTTAAATTAATATTAGAATTTATCGAAGTGCAAAAATTAATAGGCTAAAGGGTCAAATAGGTTGTGTAAGCTCAATTCAGTCCCTGAACTAAAAAAGGTTCAACTCACGCCTTGAACCGACAAAAAATGATTCAAATTTCATATTTTACAGGTAAACAACCGGTCACTTTTTTATTTTTTTAATTGTTTTTGTTTTTTTATTTCCGATTCATTGCAATTTTGGCACTTTTTAATAGTTTAGGGGTGCGCGGATTGGACCTTTTTTTTACCGGTTGTTTAACCTTAAAAAAATGAAATTTGAACCATTTTTTACCGGTCCGGGGTGTGAATTGGACCTTTTTTTCAATTCAGGTATTGAATTGAGCTTCCAGGACCGATACATGGACCTATTTGACCCTTTACCCCACATTAACATTCAAACACATTGACAACTAACTATTTTTACTATGTGAATGAATGAAAATGAATAAGGGCCATTATAAGGGAAACTCGGTTATAACTGGTTATAGCACAAGTTTGGGTTGATCCTTATTCCTTAACAAAAGTAGGCTCACATTTGACTATGAAATCGTGTATTAATAAAGAATCCCTTTGTTATAAAATTATGTTGACATTTAATAAGGGGTTTTATAATGACTCATTCCCCTATTAGTTATAAGAGCATCCACAATGCCAATGACATTTGATCTCCTCCTCTCTCTTCCACATCATTTCCCTCCAAAAACTTAATCCCCTTCAACCTATCCTATTTTTTCCCCACTATGGTGACCTAGGTCACTTAAAAATTTTACATCCTCTCTCCTTATTTTGACATATTCCACCATTATCAATTTATTTAATTTGAAAAAAGGAATACTTCGTATAAAATTCACATTTGATCCACTGTATTATTTAGTGAAAAAAATAAAATAAGCATATTTTTAAAAAATTGTTAAATATCCTTAATTCAGAGGAAAAGATCTTCTAAAATGGATAAAATAAGATGCAAGAAGGAAAGCAATGATAAATTTCGAAGTAACTAAACATATCTTTCATTGATGTCTATGTATAGAGGGAAAAAAATCTAATTTTTTGATATAATTTTATTATTATTATAAATTAAATTTAATGCATAATAAATGAAATTAGGGAGTTGGGGGTAGTTAATGGGGTGAGTTCAAAGTAAAATGCCACTTGGCTTTCTCTAAATGGTTAGTCACAAATAAGCTTGTAGCTCCCATTCTTAACCTTGCATGTTGGGATCCGGAGCCTCTACCTTACTTTAAAGTAAGGTAGAGTGTCTTGCTTCTTCCGGGTCGTCCGATCAACAATTCAACGGTCGGAGATCTTGGGTTCCACTTTTTCGCTAATCTCGAGGCCTGCTTTGCTACTGCCCGACCGTCCGATGCGCAAGGCACCGTCCGATCCGTCATTTCATAACCTCCCATAGTGGGGATCAAGAGGGATCAAGTTGTTTTTGTGACCCCATTGACCACCCATAGTGGGTGCCCTAAGGGATAGTAAAGGATGACTTCTTATTCCAACATTTTCAATGGTGCAATGTTTTCATTTGATATAATATGACTCTTGTAATTCATTACGAGTAAAAAGTAATGATTTCTAAAAAAAATAGAATGATCTAAATCTGAAATAAATAAAATTTGATGCATAAAACTATTCATAATCCCAAGTTTTAAATAATCAATTCAAGTTTTGTTTCAGAACTATCCTATATTTTCATCATAGTTGATTTTTTATACTGAAATATTTAGAATGTACTCTGTAATTGATATTTTTTGTTATTCGGGCCTAAAAAACTTAACATTATATGCCGTTACACAGTAAATTTGTCACATGTATAACACATACCAATGTTGAGGGAAAGACTCTTTCGCAGCTTGCCAAGGGCACCTGAAGGGTGAGGCCCGGCCATCACGTCATCCCAGCAGTCTGCCATTTTCTTGCAACTTTCTTTCTGATTGTATCAATTCTCTCTTTCTCTAGTTTTGCAATATTATATTGCGAAGACAATAATATTGTCAACCCCCAAATATATATTCTTCCATTACCAGATATTTGAGCATAAATTTCTCCGGTTGGCTTGCAATTTCTGTTAGAATAACTTCCTCCATATGACTTTTTCTCTACCAAAATATAAATGCTCCATTTCGTTTATGTAAGTAATTAATGAATAAAAAATACTAGTCCAATTCAAGCTTTCAAAAAATACTCTTAATTTGGAGAATTTTAACACCGTACTCCTATTTTAATACTTTTGCACTTCCTCCATGTTTTACACTTTTACTCCTATTTGGAAAATTATCTCTTATTAATATTGTACTTTTACTCATTTACAAATCATGTCTAATATATAAGCAACGATTTTATTTACATTAAGGACATTTCTGCTGGAGTGTACTATTATCCACGGAAACTTGCATACCAACAATGATCTGATAAAAACCGTCATTAAACTATGGACCAACAAAGAGTCTTTAGAAATTTGTATATTTATCTAATCATTATTAATAATAAAATAATTACAAGTATTATAGAATTATTAAAATTTGTTTCAACATTTCTAATTTGATATGAATATTTCTTATATGATTTGATCTGGTATGAATTTTTATGATTTGATGTGGTTATTTATGATCTAATATGATTTAAATTTTTCTGATATGATCTGATCTAAATAAAAAAGAATAAACAATAAACAATACGAACACAACAGTTATTGTGATAACTAGTGTCGAACCTGAGCGTTGTCCTGAGTAGTGTTTGTACTTTTTATGTGTACTTCTATTTTATAACTAAAAATAATTTTTTAAACCTATGAATTACGGTAATCTTGAGTGACAAACTTTATGGGCGAAACCCCTCTTAATATTCAAATTATGCACATGATTTCATTGAGAATTAAACTATGTTCCAAATTTCATACATTACAATTAATCACACATTTCATAGTCTAGATCAAAATAACAAAGTTTCACGGAGAAAATATGTGTCTTTGGGTTAAGTAAAATTAATGCATATTTGTCTAGATATCTAAATGTTAAAAGCAATAATGACTTTTGTTTTATCCAACTATTAAATCTATTATTAGAGATAAACACATGTATGACTTATCACAACACATGACATTTTGATGTATCCATTGAACTATTATATGGGGATAATGCACATAACAACACAATAAACCTAATGTATATGTGGCAATTTAGTTTGATGATTTTTCATTGGCCTATTATTAAGTCACATAATTACAGAACGAATTGAGTATTTTTAATAAGTTTTTATTACTGCTTTTCAAATGGTTTGTCATATTTGATCATTACTAAATTTAAATACTCCAATTCTTTAATAAGTGCAAAGTCATCAATCACATCTTAACTTGTATGTATAGAAAGAATATCATGAATATTTATCGTATATGTGATTTTAGAATCATGAACATCTATTTTTTAAAAAATATAATTGAAATCAAAATAATTTATGTATATTTTTTCTTTTTAACCCGAAAGACAAACCATTAAAATCAGTGCGATAAATATTGGAAAACATTACCCAGCAAGGCCGTTTTTTAGCAAGTTAAATAGGTTCTTGGGAACAGGGCCCACCAAAATTAGAGGCCCATATTTTTTAATATTAGCATTACAATATAGTTAATGTTATATAATATTAATATGGAATTATTTTAAATAATTTTTTTCTATATGAACACTTGAACACAACTAATTTTGTTGAACTATGTGAGTTGTTATTATATGTGATTTTATTTTTATTCATATACAACAACAACATCTAAGCCTTAGTCTCAAAAGATATTGGGGTCGGCTAACATGAATCGATACATGACATCACTATCAAAAGGAAAAGAAAGAAAATAAAGATAAAAAAAATAAGCTAATATAAAAAGATAATATAAAACGAGATGAATATACCTAAGAATGATAAAATAAAAAGGATAAAAAATAATGTTTATATGAGGTCTCAATTTTGCATTTGGAACCGGGGTCTCCAAATTCATTAGACGGCCCTGTTACCCAGTATTATTAAGACATCATATCATAACCAAGGGAGGGCTTAAAACCTTACCATTAGTAACAATTTACATGTGGAAAACCTCTAAAATCAAGAATAAGAGCTTCAGAACCCAAGGTGCAGCTCTAGTGTGTATTTAACCTGACATTAAAAAAATGATTACTACGTACTAGTATATTTTTAGATATACGAAGTATTTCATATTAAAAGACTAATGACCCATTTAATCAAACGTTATATGTGGTTATCATCATGACTACCTGTTACGTTGGGATGGATATATACCATGCGACTAAAAGTTACAGGTTGAAAAATTACGTGTTGAATATGATCTTATCTAAATAAAAGAGTAGGGAAAAGGGGCAAATAAGCCCCCGAACTAACCGAAAAAGTGCAAATCACTCCTTTTATAGGAGGCTCTGTCCGGCCGTCGCCATTTAGGACGGTTCCCGGTGAATTTTTTTAATGAATTTTTTTAAGCATCTTCTTCATTAAGTCTAGCTTACTCATGCCAAATTTCAGCTAAAAATGAATTCGGGAAGGCGGTCAGATAAATGTTTAAAGATAACTGCGTAGTTAAACAACGCAGTATATTTCAGCTGAAATTTGGTATGAGTAAACTAGACTTAATGAAGAAGATGCTCAAAACAATTCATCAAAAAATTCCACCTGGAACCGCCTCAAATGGCGACGGCCAGACAGAGCCTCCTATAAAAGGGGTGATTTGCACTTTTTCGATTAGTTCGAGGGCTTATTTGTAACTTTTCCCAAAAGAGTAAGGTATAAACAATAAACGATGTTATACGTGGTTATCATCATGACTACGTGTTACGTTGGGATGGATACCATGCGACTAAAAGTTACTGGTTGAAAAATTACGCATTGAATATGATCTTATCTAAGTAAAAGAATAAGGTATAAACAATAAACGATATGAACATAAGACTTATTGTTACAATGGAAAATCTTGTACACACCTTTTGGTATACATTTTTTTGTATACTCGTTCGTCCCACGAACACACAATTATGTCCATAGACAACTTTGTGTACGGTGAGACAAGACTAATGTCTACACCTAGCTCCTCATTCATTCATTTATAGTCATCCGTAGTAAAGTACCTGAGTAATACTACCTCCGTCCCCCTAAGTTTGGGACAAGAGAAAGTGGCACGGTTATTAATAAAAGTGATTTATGTGGTTGATATTGAATTGATAAAGTAAGAATAAAGTAAGAATGCTTTAGAACCACACAAATTTTACCAAATAAGGTATGAGACAATCTTAGTGGGACGGACCGAAAAGGTAAAATGGGACAATCATAGCGGGACGGAGGGAGTAATTATTGGTGTTGGATTTGACCAGAATTGCTTAGCATATTTTACTAACTACGGGTACCTTTTGCTACTTAAGGAATGATAATGTTATGAATCTTATGACTAAACACACCACTTTAATACCGTTGACAATGATTACACATCATTATTACTCCGTGTTACAGTATTATTTCCCGACTGGTAGCTGCTCATCACGTCCGCCGTCCGCGGTGATTTTCCTTCTCTACACTTCCACTTTCTCTCTAAATTTTTGAAGGGAATGGAAGCATAAAAAGTTGAAGTCAGGGGCAGATCGGGCAGGGCCCAATCCCACACTAATACTTTAAAGGCGCAGACTCGGAAGTCGCATCGTCGTTGAGTACTCCGGGTCCTCTTCAGTCTTCGCTGCTCGAAGTCCAGAACGCGAATATCAGTCGGCTAGTCCTCTTCTTCAGCCAGTCACGCACTCACGGTTCAGGTCGATTTCTGGTCGGCCGTCGGCGGACGGCGCCTGAGCGCCTCTATTTGCTAGCCGCAGCTCTCTCAGTCTGTGCCCTGCGCCTCTTCAGATTTGAGGTAAGCTTTTTAATTGTTTTCTTTTGTTATACCGTAGTACTTTTTATTTTCAGCTTTAGAAATTAGAATGCAGCCTTATTTCCAGAATTCTAGACTTTAGTATTTCCACAAATTAGGAGTTCCAGAAATTAGAATTTAGGAATTATTTCCGGAATTCCAGCTTCATTCTTTATACATTGATTCGCTTTCAGCTTTATATGGTTCTAATTTATAGTTATGTTTACTTCTGATTTAAGTGAGCCACTTTCCATTTTCAACATCTATTACTAATGTCATTTGTGAGCATCATTTACTTTAGCATCAATGTGATTGTGATTTTTTTATTAATCTCATCATTTGATAACGGATAGTGATGACTCTCTCAATGATATGTTTCTTGTTTATGTAGAAAAAGACATTCTTGAAAACTGACAAATGATATTAGTCGTTCAAAACCTGTACAGAACAGTTGTGATATTAGTTGGATGAAAACTCTTATTCCTGTAATATTTGTCTTTGACATTTTTTTTGCAATAGAGGTTATTATATACCTAATAAATTTTGGTTCCCACTGAATGCCATCCCTAGATCCGCCCCTGGTTGAAGTATAAGAATGCAAATAAGGAAAAATTGAAGCTAGGTGTCCCGTGAAGTTTCACTCCAGAATGCACAGCTTTCGCTTCTTTTCCATCTTCATCACTCTCTGCTTTGCTTTCAAGCTCTCCTCTGGACTTGGTCATCTCTCTTTATCTCTCATTCTCTCTATATTCATCTATTAATGTATAATTTAAGCAATTAAAGTTATTCTCTGCTGGTTTGATGCTATCTAAACAAGTATTTGTTGCTTCCGTAAAAGATTGTGTGGCTGCTTTGTCTTTCTATTTCGAGTTTAAGTAGTTGATTTGGTTAGATTTGTTTGCATTTAAATATTTGGATCTAATGGAAAGATGATTGGAGATGGAAAAATGACACTCATAAGTCACAGGTTTTTCGTTTTAGAGAAAGACTAAATCTTGAGATTAGGGATCTATTTAGTAATGAACTTCGCCTTTTCTACTTATCACCATAGTACTAGTTTTTCTACTTATCACCAGAATACTAGTTTTTTGGTTTACCTATATATATCTCAAATGCCCCTTATCAAACGCTTTTCCTTCCCAATCTTCTGACGGTTTTGCCGTTTAATTAGTTTTCACCCATCTTTAATCAATTAGATGGAATGCTGGCACTTTACCCATTCAGTTCTCAAACATAATTCTCAATTAAATAACTTACTTTGGTTCTGAAAGTGGTAATTACTTTGTCATAAATTAACAAACATACTTTTATTTATTTTATTTATGCATTAGAGTTAACAAACAAAAGTGAAATGAATATGGAAATGCAACTTAGTCATTGTATCAAGATTTACATTTGGTTAATGGCTTAATGCACAATTGTTTGAGTATGGAGGGAGTGTTTTTGAACACCACAATGTAGGGTTGTCCCCGGTTCGGGACCAGACTGGAACAAAACCGCCGGTTCCTGGTTCCCAATTTTGGGGAACCAGAACCACGCAATACCGGTTCCAAAACTGGCGGTTCCTGTTCCAATCCGGTTCGGTTTTACGATTCCAATTTTTTTTCCTTTTTAGATATTAAAGTTTACTTGATCTTTTTAAAATAAATTAAAAATAACTAATACATATATTCAAATAAAATAGTTCCCAAAAAATTATTAGTATATATAATACTCCGTATTTATCATTGTTATAACAAATACGGTAGTAAGATAATTAATAGCTAAGTAGTTATAAATTAGATTGTACAAACCTACAAGCTAGTGTTTTAAAATAATTTAGTTATTAGTAAATTATGTATACTTGATACTGGTAATTTTAATAAAAAGTATTATAAGTTTATAACTAGTAATAACTAATGAGAAGTAACTAGTAAAAAATATACGGAGTAATTGTTATTTCTATAATTCTATGGAGTTCTTTGTTATTTTCTAGGAGGTATTTTAGTCATTCTAAATTATAAGACATGGTTGCATTAAAAGTGTTTATTGAAACTTAAGAATAATCTTGAATAGTCTAGGATTCAATATATGATACCAGATTTTTATCTAAATAATATTTCAAAATAATCTCATTTCCTCAACCATAATCTCTAAAAAGATCTTCCACATCATCGTGATGATCCCCAAATAATCTCATGGATGAGAATGCCCTTAAGTGATGGATTGGAAATAAAAGAAGGGTCTATTTGACCCTTTTCCCTTACAATTATATTATTATTATTAGTATTAATATTATTAATATTATTATTAGATAATTAATAAAAACAGGTTCTGAACCGGAACTGGCAATTCCGTTTCCATTTTTCGAGTAACTGAAATGGACTAAACCTCTGGTTCCAAACCAGATTTACTATGCAATTCCTTTTCTCGTTCTGGTTCAAAGATCGGCAATCCCGGTTCGATTCCAGTTAACCGGAAACCGTGGATAGGTCTACCGCAATGTAAATGTTTTCAATAGATGTGATATTTTAAAATTGAATGTCTTATTACTGAGTTTCTACAGAAAATGATAATTTTACTTCAACATTGAGTTATGGCTCCAGAGTGAATTCTCTTTTAAAATAAAATGTGTAATGTGAACTGCAGGGCCATATGTGATGCGTATTAGTTGTGGAGCAAGAAAAAATGTTAATAGTTCACCAACAAATACTCTATGGTATAAAGATTTTGCATATACAGGAGGGAGACCTGCCAATGGATCCCGATCTAGTTTCATCTCTCCCTCACTTGAAACCGTTAGGCACTTCCCATTGTCAGACGGTCCAGAAAACTGCTATGATATCAAGAGAGTGCCACGCGGACACTACTCAGTGAGGATTTACTTTGGGCTCATGATAGAGCCTAGTTTTGACACTGAACCGCTGTTCGATGTATCCATTGAAGGAACCTTAATTTATTCTCTACCCTCCGGCTGGAGCAATCATGATGATGAGAGGGCGTATGTCGAGGCACTTATATTCCTTGAAGATGGAACAGCCTCACTGTGCTTTCATAGCACGGGGCATGGGGATCCCACAATTCTCGCTATTGAAATCCTCCAAGTTGAGGATATGGCGTACCACTTTGGGACTACTGGTCAAGATGAAGGACAAACACCAGCAATACTTAGGACTCATAAGAGACTTAGCTGTGGTGATGAGGATTCAAAATTCGATGCAGATTACAGAGGAGATCAATGGGGTGGGGACCGCTTCTGGAATTCCATCACTACTTTTGGTCAAGATTCTGACCGTACTATATCTACACACAACAGTATTAAGAAGGCCTCTATTCAGCCTAATGTTTATCCGGAGGCTCTCTACAAATCGGCTATTGTTGGTACTGCTGACCAACTGGATTTGACTTACACAGTGGACGTGGAACCCAACAGGAATTACTCCGTTTGGTTGCACTTTGCAGAGATTGACTCAACCATTACAGGAGAAGGTCAAAGGGTGATTGATATTATGATAAATGGGGAAGTTGCTTTTCAAGATTTTGACATTGTGAAGATGGCTGGGGGTGTTAACACTGCCGTTGTGCTCAACAAGACAGTTGCAGTAAACGGGAGGAGTTTGACTATCACAGTGCAAGCTATCAAAGGACCTTATGCCATAATCAATGCCATTGAGATTTTTGAAGTTGTAGTTGCCGAATCCAAAACTGTACTAGATGAAGGTAAATAAACTTTTGCTCGTTATCTTCACTTTAATGATTTTCCAATATTACTTAAGACCCTAAATTCATGAAAAGTAATGTAGTATCGAAGTTTTACGCTGGAGGCCCTTTACGTTGCAATCTTTTAAAGAAGGAATAATAAGATGAAACCTCCGTTTGGCTGTGAAGTGGATATTTCCAATCCCTAAAATTTAGCCATATAACCACTAACAAATGGATCTAAGTATCCTTTGACTCATTCATGACCATACCTATAATGGGTTGACTGAGATGGTAATGAGTTGAGATAGTTGTTATAGTCATGTCATCATCATCATTACCCCAGTGCCGCAAAGGCTCCCACCTATGGTGGGGTAAGGGGGGTCGGACCTAAGAATCCTTTAACTCATTCATGACCATACCTATATTTGTTATAGTCATGTCCTGTGGCAAAATTTATATCACAAAATCAACATGCACGCATGGAACATGACAAAAGATAAAAAGAAGTAGTACTTGAATTATATTATGAATTTTTGATGACTCTTCTGATCAAGGCAAGAGGTAAAATGCACTGGAATGGTTTTAGACTTCTTAAATTTTTACATTATAATGCTATAGACAAAGACGGACTTCTATTTTCCATAGCTAAATGATGTAAATGAACACAACAGTCTCTCCTAATTACCCTTTTTTCTCTGTTTTGTAGTCAGGGCCTTGCAGAAATTGAAGGGTGCACTTGGGCTTCCACTTCGTCTAGGATGGAATGGGGATCCCTGTGCTCCACAGCAACATCCATGGAGCGGAACAGACTGTTTACTGGACAAAGCTTCTAATAGATGGGTTATTGATGGCATGTATGGCATTCGATCTTATACTCTGTCTCAGTATTTTACTTTCGTCCAAATTTATCTCATAAGAAAGAATTAACTGCTCTTCAGCAAGTGAAAGATCACATTTCTATGCTTAATGCATACTACAAAGTCCAAACCAGATAATATTTCTAGCACAAGTGCATATATAAAGTTTATTAGTTATAATGTATACATGTTTTTTCTTTCTTTTATCTTGTACCGTCTTAATCACTCTCTCATATGTGACTTTTCAAATGCAATCAGTGGGCTGGACAACCAAGGTTTGCGGGGTTTTCTGCCGAATGAGATCACCCAGTTGCGTAATCTGCAGAGCATGTAAGAGACATTGGAATACTGATGTTTCTTGAATTGAGTAGATCCATTTATTTTTGAAGGCTGATTTATTAAAGAATAGTTTGTCTGATTCAAAAAATGTGTTGATCAAGTTTGATTCACATAGATTAATAAAATCATTCAATAATTAGGATTATGTGAATAAATGACCACATTGTCCTTTCAATTAAAACAAAGAAGATTTATCAGATAATTAGAGAAGGGCACGTTGGAAGAAAACATTTAATTCTTCTTAAAAAATGAAAAGTGACGGGTATTCTAAAACAAACTGTTCTGTCCATTGTGATAATTGTTTTGAAATGGAGGTGTTTGAAATAATGCAACGGAAAAACGGGCAACTGCTGGAGTTTCTCCACTTGTGTTCTGGAGGTCCAGGACCCCCCCCCCCCCCCCCCAAATAAAAGGTGTTGGTGATTCAACCTATTTATGTAAAGTATATGCCATTTAATGAAAGAAAGGTGACCTAGATTGTCCTTTCCTTAGACACCCATTGTGTGTCAACTTTGGATCTGGTTATGCCTTCTGATATAAGAAATTAAGAATATGTCAGTTCATACTTACCCCGTGCACTGTGCACACCATGTTTAACCCTTGTTTGGTTGGAGACTTGGAGGGAAAGGAAGGGCAGGCGGGGCAGGGCAGGGCATGTCTATTTGATAGTTGGAGAGGAAGTGAAGATGATTTTCTTTTAAAATTCACGCTTTAACTAGACATGTACTTATTTTCAAATCTAAGACGAACCAATAAAGATAAATTAGTAAAACAATGCCATAGTGAAATAGCATCTTTTATGTACATTTACAGAAATCTGAGTGGAAACAGCATTCAAGGGCCTATTCCCTCAGGACTTGGATCGGTGACTAGCCTAGAAAAGCTGTAAGTGAAATCTTTGTTAGTATATACATCATTATTTGCTTCTCACCACTGCCATACAATGACTCACAAAGTCTGAAACAAATACATAAAACAAGGCATCAATTTTCGTCACTTTAAAATGCTGGCTTGGTGGCTTCATAATGCAATATTTGTATGGCAGGGATCTTTCGTACAATCGTTTCAATGGATCCATCCCTGAAAGTATGGGACAATTGACCTCATTAAAGATATTGTAAGATACTTAATCGCACATCTCCTGGAAAATACATAAAATCAGCTCTCACTTCATTCTTGAGCATGTTACAGGAATCTTAATGGCAACTCCCTCTCTGGAAGAGTTCCTGCTGCATTGGGGGGAAGACTTTTGCATAGAGCTAGCTTCAAGTACGTCTTTTCCAATTCACTTATTATTGGCGTTGAGTTTGTAAGTATTCTCAATCTTGGCTTGAGGTTATTTTTAGCCTAGAGTAAGATGAGGTATTTGTTAAGGTAATTCCATTGGGAGGTCACCCATATTTCACCTAGTGAATTTCTTCACCATTATTGCCAGGTTCTTAAGGTTAAGATTCAATTTTCAGATCTTATATGTTGTTAGGTGCATTGTAACTTTGAAATTTTCCATTCTAGAATTATATTCCACATAGAGTATAGTCAATTATATGTTGCCAGGTTCCAAATATTCGACTGGTTCCACTTTCATTGTTAAGTCATCCCACATTATAACTAATTTAAAATATAGTCACTTATATGTGGTTAAAACTACCCATCTACCGCTATCAAGTGAACACTTTAGTAGACATGTTTGTCAATTCGGTTTATTTGTTTCATTTTGGGTCGTGCGTGGTTGATCTTTTTATTTTTTAGAAATGCAAAAACAGAGAATTATACCGATTAGCTTCAGTTTGTTTCGGCTGTTTTCTCAAACTTGTCAGTTTTGATCACTTTTGGCACATTATGTCGGTTTTGGTCAGTTCAACAGGTTTTCGAATTGTCAACTGTAAACCGAAAACTGACCTTGTATGGCTTGGTCGGCTCGATATTTATTGTTTTTTCTTTTTACAATGACAGTCTCAATAGAATAAATGAATAACGGCGTTTTTAAAAAAAGTAAGTTCAAAAATATGTCCTATTCTTGCATGGGTTAAATACTTAGTAGGCATCATATGTTTTGCAGCTTTACCGATAACGCAGGCCTATGTGGTATTCCGGGATTGAGAACTTGTGGGCCACATCTTTCTTCCGGCGGAAAAATTGGGGTCGGAGTAGGGGTTGTGGTGACATTTTGTATAACCGCCACATTCTTAACATGTTGGTGGAAAAGAAGACAGAATATTCTGCGTGCTAAAAGACTGGCAGGTAAATAAATGGCAAAATCCAATCAAGAGATTCACACTACATTACATTTAAGGAATAAAAAGAACCTTTCCTAAGTTTTGCTTAAAAATTGTCTGAAAGCTCTTGCTTCCATCTCTTGATCAGCTCGAGAGGCTCCTTATGCAAAGGCGAGAACCCATGCTGTATCTGTGCAAATGGGCACTCGAGCAGCTGCTGAAAATGGGCCTCCAGTGCTGACTTGAACCTATCAGAGTTCTGAAACTTCACACGAGACGTCCAGTTTTGTCAACTGATATTAGTAGTCATACTTGTATTCAATTACCTCCTATTCCCCTCTCAATACTTGTAGTTTTGTTTGGACTATAGAATCAAAGAAGAAAGGAAAAAGAGATAAGTAAAATATATATATATGAATGTGTAGTGTGCTATGTTCCATGAATACACGGATATGAATATAACGATACATCATTTATATTCAAGGTTAGGTTCGGACTTCGCAATTTGGTGTTTATCCAACATCGCAAGTATGGAAGTATGAGACTCACCATAGACTCCATAGTACACTTACAGCTAGGGGTGCAAACGAGCCAAGCCGTTCGCGAGCCGCTCGTGGATCGCTCGGGAAAAGCTCGACTCGAGTTCGGTCATATCCAAGTTCGGCTCGAGTTCGGTTCGACTCGTATACTAAACAAGCTCGTGTCAAGCCCCTTTATTTTAGGCTCGTGGCTCGCGAGCCGGTTCGCGAGCCTTGATGTGTGTGTATATAAATACAATATGTATAAAAATTATTGCATACATAGCATATTATTTTGAGAATAATTATTCTAATTTAGGATTACTCTATTTTTAATACTTATTATTTTATAATAGAAATAATTAAATACAATATTATTTATTATTATAACCATTATTTATAATAGTTATATGTAATCTATAATAAGTACGTAGTATTAGTTTATCCATTTACTCACTGGGAATGAGATTAAAAATAGATTGGCATCGAGTTACACACAAACATGTGAGTAGGATAGGTGGAATTTGCCCATTAGACTACACCCATCAACCTGGGTTCGAATCCCATCATGTGAATGTTTTTGTACTCCTAAAACTTAATACTCTATACTCCGTTTGTTTTTAATTTCTAACTAATATAGTTCCCACACCGGATAGTGAGGACTATTTTCCTATCGCATCCAACTATAAAGCCCCTCCTCTCTATCAGATTAACGTAGCACCGAGCAGGCTGCACATGGCTAAGCTTTGGAGTCGATCTCGAGCGGCTCGCGAGCTTCAACCAAAGCTTACGAGTCGAACTCGAGTTTCAAAATATTGAGCTCGATCGAGCTCGAGCCGAACTCGAGCATATAAAATAAGAATTATTTTGAGAAAAGTGGACGGAGGGAGTATTGTCCATATTGACCAAAGGGGATGAGGCAATTAAATAGGGACATCCCAATATGGTAAAACGGGACATTTAAAAGGGGACGGAGGGAGTATTGTCCATATTGACTTGGGTGTTTCATCATAAAAAGTCGATATTATAGAAAGAGTGGTTCAAACGTTTATATGTTGGTTTATATACTTATAATGGGCACACATTTCATAAATAATACCGAGAGTATTGGAACATCATTATTATTCTTCCTATATCATTAACATCCATCTTTTGTGGTATACATGTAGGATGTTTTCACTTTGATGGTTCTCCGTCCCAAACCAGATTTAAACAAATCAAGTCAGACCATACCAAACTTTCACAGTTATAAAATAAACAGAGACCAGACATTTATTAGATCAGATTAGATCAGACCAGATTTAAACAGATAAGATTTAATCAGATCATCAAATTTCAGTGTAAGTAAAAACATTTGCAGCATGTAGATACAAGATATCGAGACTCGAGAGTATTGGGACATTATTATTGTTCTTTCCTTTATCCTTTATCATTTCCAAGGTATGCATCAGAAGCTACAAATGTGACAAATATATCATTTCCTATACTCTCAATACTCATTCTTATTTTTAGTAGTAGTTCTCTATTTTATCACAAGAAAATTCACAATTGGGCATTTTGTGTATACATGTCTTCTGTCCGCACCATTACTGAATACACAGTTTACAAAGTAATTTTCTACTAGCTTTTCCTTTCTTACATAAACTTATTCATTTTGTGTATACAAAACTTATTCATTTGGAGCATTAATTTTTTCTTGTAATATAGAATTGTTATTGACCATTGACCGATGTGGTTTAACTTTTAGTTTTGAGATATCATTTTATATCAGTTTTAATTAGTATAAGTACTCCTTTTGTCCCGAGTAAAGATTCTAATGCATGTTTGACCGGTCATAAAGTTATACATATGTTTTTTAATGAAGCATCTCACTTATTTATTAAATAATCTAAAATACATGGTAGGAGAACTACAGCCAAGACCTACCCAAATTTACAATATACGGGTAACTAACTGCATCAAACTTGACAATGCCTACGAATTTACTATAAATGTTCGTGACATTCAAACAAGTTGAAGAACTTAGCTACAAAACTAGCAACCCCATCACATGGTTTATGAATATAACTAAAATGAGAATTGAGATATTGAAACTTTTCTTTGAAAGCTTCCGAATTTGCAAGCCCTGACCATCTTGATCGTGTCTTTCCTATCGGAGTCTCGATTACTTGAGAATTATCACATTCAATGATAACATTAGTATGATTCTTTTCAATAAGTAAACTTTTAAGATTGATTAACATATTATAGATATTTGAAGTTATATCTTCATGAAGGTGGGTTTCCGAAGTGTAGTGAACAAGACGACCATCACAGTCACGAATAATGAGACCCATTATAGTCTCACCGCCCCTCTAAGTTACTAAAGGCAATGTTGATTTTAAAAAATGGAGTGGGGGGTTTGTCCCAGCTAATAATCTGGATATTGCGATTTTTAGAATTCAACTTCGGTTTATTAACAACAATAGCATTCAAATGAGGGTTAGAAGCACTAGTGATAAACGGATATGCCACATCTCCTTATTAATAAACTTAATAGCCTCAGAAATGGGAAGAATTTTATCATCATTATTTAAGCATTTCTACGTTTCCAAATGGTCCAACATATATAAATTGCAAACTGACATTTAAGATTGTTAAACTCATTTAAGCCAAGAACCAGTTATGTAAGATAGTGTTATAAAGCTGATATGTACTATTTAGTAGTGCATACAGATCATACTTTAAAATGAATTACATTGTGTTTACTTAGCTTTTGTACAATTACGGTGTAATCTTTATCTTCTAAAATTAGATTAGAATTAGAAGATATTAAGATTTTTTTACATGTAAGCAAGAAACATGATGAAAAGAAGAGGAATGAGGTTGGGAGCGTAAGGAAGGAGCATTGAAGACAAGAGGAAGCTTCATCGGAGACAAAGAAATCTGAAAAATTCGATCAATTTGGTCTCACACTCGGTCGGGTATATGCAATACCCGATCAGATATGATTTGACCCGGAGATAATATAAGATCAAATAAAGCAAGAGAAAATGAGAGAATAAAATTTGGTCATATATCCGGTCGGGTATCATCAGTGGCGGAACCAGCCTTTGCGTGTTGGAGGGGCACACTAGCACATAAATTATACGAAATATTAGTTATGTCCCAAATTGTTTTGTAAAGTCAATATTTTTATTCAAGCAATGTCAAACTTAAATCCTCCCTATTGATAAATAATTCAATTTTAATAATTAAAATTTACACATTCAAAAATTATATTAAAATCTCAATACAGTTGCAAAATCCAAGTTAAAAATTGACATCCTAAGTAAGTGAACAAAATGGAACTGTTTGATTAAAAAAATCATATATGTAACTCAATTTGGGACGGAGAGAGTATATATATCATCAATATATTAATATACAAAACAATAAATAAATGAGAATGATTGAAAGGCGACAATCTTTGCCTTCGATAATGAGTTCTAATTCTCAATTTTAACAAATACATCTTTTTCAATTCAACTTTAGAACTTTTGTTTGAGGCTTTTTAACACTATTTCCAGTGCCATTATCTGATGAAAAATTAAATTATTCGAGAAAGAACACACAATGCTCGCCCTTTACCGGGGGTGGAGACAGGGAGGAGCTGGAGGTGACAATGGCCCCTGCAAGAAAAAAAATTCTTAAGTATATATTATCTATAAATACTTTTAATCTGTAGAAAGTATGTTGATATTTTACACTTTGGCCCCTGCAATGTAAAATTGTTAAGACCGGCCCCTTTAATCCTAAATGTCTGGCTCCGCCACTACCCTTTACTATCTTTAAGAATCAATGTATACAATCGTTTCACGTGAATTCTTATCAATCAATCTAGACTAGAATTAAAATAATATATGAGTATAATGGTAAGGATGGTATTACATACACAACGCAATTATAATACAATCAACAAATTACTCCGTATTAAATAGACTCCAGGCTTGCACAAAAAAATAACAATTTATGAAATCGAATTTTAATATAAATCACACTCTGAATTTTTTAACAAATTAACATAGGCATATTAAGTCATTATTAATTTATTTTTGATTGAATTATTCTATGAAGATATCAGCCGTGAATGGCAAAATGTAAACTGATACGTAGTACTACGTACTACAGTACAAGCAAACAATTACTCCGTACAAATAAATACCTCAATTAATTGGCTTCTATTAAAACAGCACAATTATATAAAAAAGCAAACGACATAGTAGAAGTCTCACACCGAAACTCAAATAGCTAAAACGAACTTACTGGAAAGATAAAAAGCGAAGTACTCGCCAGTTCAATTAAGCTTATGTTTCTCGATCTATGCCTTCTAGTTTGATTTCAATTTTGAAATCTGATGTAATTCATAGCGTTAACTTGGGGTTAATTTTTTACTTGGTATCATTTAGTAAGGCGACGTCGCTTGGTCTAAATCTAAAAATAAAAATAGAAGTTCCATCTCTTAGAGCTGCACCAACAACGATTCAACACTCACACCATCTGTCCATCTCCAATCCTTGGGTGGATTGTCGTTCCAAATGAGCAAGTGCACTTTTTATGACCAAATCTAATCTCCAATGATAACACAAATGGGCATCCAAAATCTGAGTTGACATAGCTTGAGGTCCAACACAAGGTCCAGAAGTAGACCCTCGGTCACACCTTCTGACAGGCCAACAAAGCAAGAAAGATGCTTTTGTGTATCATATACGGAGCTCTTCTTTTTTTCTTTCATCAAATGGACTTCCGCACTGCAGCATGCAGCTTCTAATGGACCATACCTTTCTTGCTCATATTTGGTTTGGACCTTCTCCATTTATTAGCCACATAAGCACCAATGCACCCAAGCATTGGAATTGCTCTCACCGACTATGTTTCTAGCAAATACAGAGCAGCACCAGATTTTCTAGGGCAAGATTACACTACTATCTATATCTACCTTAGGATCTTGGGCGTAGCAGGGGCACAAGCCCCCCAAGTCCCTTAATAGTTCCACTGGGTATCATACCCAACCACCCTATTTTAGGTAATCTTTTGAGTTTGATTTTGCTATATTGAAGCTTGTGATTTGTAAATTGTGAGTTATATCTTTAATCTTCTTCTCTTAATTATTACTCCCTCACTCCCAATTTATAAGACATATTTTCTATTCACTTGGTCAACACAAATCTCTTTTAATCTTTTATTTCATATATCAAATTTTTATCAAATTTGATTCTGATTTTTCCGATTTTATAAAGCTTTTAATGTAGTTTTTTAATATGTAATCGTTTTTCCCTAAAAAGAGTTCTGCTTTTATCGTCGATCAAACATCGTAAACTATAAAGTGTCTTACAAATTAGGACGGAGGGAGTAATTACCTCCCTATTCATATTTCATATTGATATTTTAGCATCGTTAAGTGTTTTCATATTTATTATTACTACAATCGGTCAATGAATACACTTGTTATTCACTTATATGGGGCAATTAACCGACATGTTATGCCATATTTGTAGTAGTGCTTGATCGTTTCACAAGTATTAACTTATATTGTTAATGCATGCATCTCATGGTTAATACTGTAAGAGAGATTAATTATATTGATTAAACCATAAAAATGGTTTGTGTTGAGGTTGCAAATTTTAATTGATTTCATCACATGAATAAATTACTCCCTCTTACATTATAATCCTACCAAGAAATCCCTAAAACATGATATGTTTCTTCCTTCAAGGACAAAAATAGAGTCAATCCCTTTGTCAATAATCCGAATAAAAACACCATAAGAATTTCAATCGAAGAGAATTATAAATTTGCCCAATTCGAATTTAGAATTCACCCAATAATCTGAGGAAATTTTAAGAATAGAATCCCTCAGTCATAGTAAATTATCCAGATCAAACACAATTAAAGGAGTAAAACCTGATTTGAACTCAGAATTACGAACAAATTTGTCAAAGCAATTAAAAACATTTTTTTTGCTTTCAATAAAAAGGCAAACTCTGAAGAAGAAGAAGAGGCTGAAGCAAACGTAGTTTGCTGAACCTCGTTCCGGTTGCAAGCCAAATCCTTGTAATCATCGTTCCCAAAGCCAGAAAGTAGAGCCCCTGAAGCATCCTTATATGAGAGTCCTGAAACTAACTTACCAAAGTTTTCATTTTTCCTATGATTGAGACCATCTCTTCTCTTGTGAAAAGGTCCCTTCCCTACTGGTTTTGCCAACCTCCTGCGCCTCTCGTACAGAGATCCCCATGGTCGGACAGGTGGGCGTGAAGCATAGGTTCCTGATGGCTTCCTGGTTGTCCAAACGCCTAGACGTTCATCAACCTTGAAAGGAGATCACATTCTACTCTGCACCTTGTTCTGCATCTGGATCTGCCACGCCTTCTCGACATCTGCTCTGTATCGAAAAGGTGAATTCCGCCCTACCTGTATTTGCTCTGCCTCTGGAAACGCCGCACCAGAAGAGTAGTCCCCGTTCTCCCTGAAATCGCTTCGGATCTGTCCATGGTTCCTTGTTGGAACCGGCAGAGAAGAGTGGAACAGTACAAAACAGTGCCCAAACAGTAAAATTTATCTTTTAATAAATTTATTTCTTTAAAATGTGTGTAAATTAAAGCGGTAAGTTCTTTCGGGGACGGAGGGAGTATCATTGATCAAAGTTGATCGTCATTCACCAAGAAAAGTTAATTTGGCGAACCTTTTCAGGACGGAGGTAGTATTTTATTTCCCTCATTTTAGTACTCCCCCGTCTCGCAAAATAGTTTCCGGTTTCCTTTTTGGGCCGTCCTTTTTTGGAAAGTTTTGTGTGACTCACATTCATTTATCTTTTTCGTACTCAACCACAACCATACATTTCCACTTTATTCTCACTTTCTTAAACTCCGATCCAAGTCAATGCGGGAACTATTTTATAGGACGAATGGAGTATTTTATTTGCATTCTCAATTATCAAAATATCCAACCCCCTTTTGTTTACTTTTATTTATTATGTTTACACATACGCGAAAAGCACATTTCCCGGTGAAAACGAACTCTACTACGCTATATTATAGTATTAACTCTTATCAATGAATTTAATTTGAGGCAGACATGATTTTAGTGCCGTCAAAAGCGGATCCAGCTTTTGCATGATGATATCGAAAAGATATCCAAAATGGCATCCTCTGACGGAGCGTCGCTACCTTGCAACTTCCTTCAACCTCCAACGAGAATGTCACTTGATATGAAAAATGATGGCATTTTCAGACTCCCATTCATAGAAAATTAATGTAATAATCTAAAGTTTGAGAAGAAAATAAAAAATGAATGTTAGAGAAGAAAATAAAAACTGAAAGTTAGAAAACAATATTGGTTTTTATACATTTGGTCTCATAAAAATGACATCATTTGATAAACATATAAAAAAATGGCACTACAAATATTGTGATTTCAAAGTTAGATTGCCATAATACAAAGTGAATATACTGAGATTCTGAGATCTCCGAGTCTTCTTTGTTGAAATCTAACTTTTGATCTCAAACTTTCCAATTCAAAATATTATTTAGATTCTCTTTGATAAAAATTAAACAAAAGCAGAGGATCAGGAACAAGACCAGAAGAAGAAGAATACGAGGAAGAATTGAGAAGAAATAAAAGGTTGAACAAAACACGAACACAAGCTAAGTCACTGGCTACTCACTGGTTCTCTAGCTTTGTATTCCACTTCAATTCATATCAGAATTCATAAATATAATACTCCGTACCACTTAAATTCGTATATATAGCAAAGGATGAAAGAGATACATTCAAAAGAAATTAAAGGGTTAACAACAAAACGAGCACAAAAAACAGCAAATAACGAAACAACATGTAACGATCCAGGCCACCCACCACAGTACAGCGGCGGTCGAAGCCGTCCAAGACAAAATTAATTAACCCGATCCATGACACAACAACAACAGTAGTAATAGTACGTACGTCCTTACTCAACAAAACGAGACAGAGATTTGCGGCGGCAGCGGGACTGAAAACAGCGGCGGTTTTGATTGGCTGGACGGACTAGGGCAAGTCTTCTTCGTCCAAAGTGGTCATGTCCGCCTGACCAAAATTATGATAACTTTCCGTAGTGTGCGTGGGATTATAATTAGTATTACGATAATTCAGCTGGTTGCTTGGTTTTCTGGTATCACTCATCCCGAAAGGCTGTTCTGCTCCAGATTTCTCCTCCTCCTGCCGCTGGTAATTATTGTTGTAATAATTACTAGGGTTGTACTTATTAGTGTTTGAGGCGCCGTGGCTTTGTGGCGGGATATTGTTGTTCTGGTTATAAGTTGCATAGATTCTGGTGGCACTTGGTGAGGTTTTACGCGGCGGCGGCGGTTTCAAATGAGTATTGGCGCTTTCAGTGAAATAGAAAGCGACATCTTTTTCATCGACTGGTGGGGTATTTTTCTCATCCTCGTAGTTCGCCTTGTAGTAATAAGTTTTGTCCGGCTTCTCCGATTGATCATCGACCTTCGCAGTAATTATTGTGGTGCCGCGGGTTTCACTCTCCTTATTGAAACTAGCAGAACTGTAATACTTGGGTGGGGGTGGGGGTAATTTAAGGAGGTGGGGTGGTGGGGGTGACGGCGAGGGCTTATTTTTATTGTTATAATAATGATTTTTTGTACTATATTTATTAGTGTACTTGAAATCCTCGTCCTTGTCCTCCTCCGATTCATCGACCGTCGCTGGAATTCTTGTAGCGCCACCGGTATCACTTTCACTCTTTGTATTGAAACTAGCAGAACGGTAGTACTTGGAGGTGGGTGGGGGTGGGGAAGGGGGTGGGGGTGAGTAGTAGTAGAAGGGTGGGGGTGGGGTTGAGGTTGAGGGTGTGTTCTTGGAAGCGGTGAAGTAGTGGTTTGATGGCTCATCTTGCTCGTTCTCCGTCTCGTAATTGGTATTATAGTAATGATTTTTTGCACTATATTTATTAGTGTACTTTACGCGGGAATCCTCATCATCCTTCTCCTCGTCCTCCTCCACATTTGCGGTTGTGAACTCCGCCGCGGCGGCCGCCTTCGTATCACTATAAGCGTTGGTGGCAGCCTGCTGCTGCTTCTCCGCGGCGGCAAGTCGCTGGTTCTCTTCGTATTCCTTTCTTAACACTTCATCCTCGTACAGCGCCTGAATCCTCTCCTGCATACTCGTGGGCTCTGCGCGCGTCACATACATATCAGGGTGATAGTTCCAGGGGAGCCATTGGGTCTTGGTTCCGGTGGCGGAGGCTTCTTCGGCGGGGGCGGGGGCGGGTGCATCCGCGAAGGCGGGGGCGGGGGCGGGTGCTTCGACGACGGCGAGAGACTCTTTACTAAGAATCCCGTGCCTTAGGTCGTCAATTGCTTGGATGAAGGTCGGCTGAACTTGTTCTGGCAGCGGCGGTGGCGGCGCTGTCGTTGCGTCTGACGACGATTTGTAGAAGGACGCCCTTGCTGCGTGAATGTTATAAGGGAGGAGCAGCAGGGTCAGGAGGAGCAGCAGGAAAACGATGCCGGAGTGGTTGGCGGCGTCGCCGGCCATGATGGGAATCGATCAAATCCGGTGTGGTAGGGTGTAGCCACCAGGTGCGAATTAACGTGCTGGTATGTTTGTTTTCATTTTATCGTTGTGAGTTGTACGTGACTTCCATATATATACATGTATGTGTGTGTGAATGTATATACAAAGAGTCTGTACTATTTAAATCGAGTATAAAAAGTCTCTACAACTCCCTGTATTGTTATTATCTATTCACCATTGTTTCTAATATTGATATTTTCATATTAGTATATACTCCACGTAGTATGAAAATAGCAAAGTAGGCTCGCGAAAAATTGTACTCCCTCCGTCCTATTAAGAGGTTCCAATTACGATTTACGATGTTTGATTGACGATAAAACAACATAATCCTTGTCACACTCTGATTATTTTTAGTAAATAAAATTTGGTGACAACTCTGGTACCCATTTAAAAAATGGGCTACCGTACCTACCATGCATTTGATTGGTCCAAATCATTATATCCTTTTTAATTTAGATTTAAATAATTCAACTGCATCATTGTGATTGGTCAATGTGGACAAAGGTATGGTACCTTAAGGGTACCATAGAATCTACCATAAAATTTACATATTCAGAAACTACATTAAAACCGCTACAAAGTCTGATAAAAATTTGATATATAAAGTAAAAGATTAAGAATGATTTAAGTTGATCATGTGAATAATGGAGAAGAACCTTTAAATAGAACGGAGGAGTAGTATTTACTTTTACTTAAAATGTACTACTCCCTTGAATATCACATGGTTCCTAAGTTTCTATTACTCCGTACTTCTTTTTTTTTTGAAAGAAGTTTCTATTACTTCTCCGTCCTCTTAATATTGAGACAAAAGAGAGTGACATGATTTTAAAAAAAAAATAGAATTATGTGATTAATAATGAGTTAATAAATTGAATACTCCCTCCGTCCCGAAAACAACTTCTCGGTTGGACTTTCACACACTTTTAGGAAATAAATTTGACTTTACTGTAGAATGCACTGTTTTGCACTGTTTAAACACTGTTTGGCACTGTTTAAACACTGTTTGACACTGTTTATCACTTTTTTGATGTAGATAATTTGCCAAATAAGGAAAGTATTGAAGTGTGAAGTTAATTTTGGGACATCCATTTAAGGAAAGTGGGAAGTTGTTTTCGGGACGGAGGGAGTATAAAGTAAGAACTAATAGAATTACATAAATTTTATTGTGATGAACAAAATGAATCAATTATATTGCGATGAAAGGAGTATATCGTTGAAAATTTCCTCGACATCATCCTTCTCTTTGGTCTCCGGTCTCGCACATCTCTAGCGCCACGGTTATCCATGGTACATGCCTTTCCCTCCAAGTCATTCGATATCATCTTTCTCACCCAACATTTCAACCTCCTCATCTATAGGTTTTGAATTGCTACCGTCTTATATTTTGATCTCATCATTAATTGAGATTTGAGAATCGTTCCTTTTGGCATTGAAGCATTTGATATTAGTAACATAGTTAGAAATTCATTTTTTATATCTCATGTAAACGAGTATGTATCGAAATATCAACATATTCAACAACTCATTATATTAAAATGAGAAACGAGTCAAAAAAACTAACGTTTTGAAATTAAAATTGTAAGTACTCAAAGTTTTTGGATATTGAAGATAGAAAGCGATACTAAAATAAAAAAACTAAAACGTCTAATACATATTTCCATTGGAGATACTAATATCCAGGGATAACATCGTTTTCTAAAAAGATAGTCTCCAATTGAGGTTCATCAGTGAAAAAGTTGGCGAACTCAAGTACTCCTATATCATCTATGCTCCCAAAGTCATCTCCACCAACAATCACATTATACTTATCGCCCATACACTTAGTTGCTCTGTTCTAAAAATCGTTCTAGGCGCCCGACTAGTCCCCGCCTAGGCGCTAGGCGGTGGTCGGGCGCCCCGATTTTTGTCTAGGCGCTCCGACTAATTTGTTTGCCGTCTAGGTGAAATAGTCGGCCGCTTATGGCGCATAGTTGCCCGCCTAGTCGGCCGCCTAGGCCGCCTAGATTCGCCGAATTTTACTTCACTTTTTTATTTTAATTTTCTAAGCGATATGCGTACTTTAACTTTAGCCATGTATATAAAGAAATGAAGATGTAAATTAAGATAAAACTATATATGTTTGTATATATACCCAAATTTTATCATTATTTTGTTAATGTATATGTATATATGTATTTTTTACACACAAAAATACAATACGATAGTATTACTTATCATATTTATGCAAAAATATAGATAAAAATACAATTTCTATGTCTCCGACTAATCCCCGCCTAGGCTCCCGCCTAGCCGCCTAGGCGCTAGGCGCTGGGCTGGCGCCCGACTAGCGCCTTTTAGAACATTGCTTAGTTGTGTGCGAGATTAAAACAAAGTAAAATTTATTTTTAGTTTTTTATTTTTAAAGAATTTTATTATTTAAATTTTGGGTGTTTTTTTATAAAGAGTTGATATGTGTATGAGTGAGGATATGAATATTCGAAATTTTAAATTATCTATCAGGTGAAAACTTTTACTACGTAATAAATTATTGATATAACTCGGGAACGTATAATATCAGTATTGTAGAGTATATGATACATTGAACGTTTCGAATACGCCATATCATATAGTGTACCACGTAGTAGTTTGGGATTATTTGATGATTGTCGTGTGTAAAGTTCAACGGGGCTAGAAAAGCATAATCCGGAATTATTGGGAAATCCGTAAATCGTTTTGAATTGTGACAGTCCCTTTTTTGGTCAGGAAGTCTTTGATGTTACGTTACACATGATATTCATCATTTATTTTTTATTACTACGTATATTATTTGGACAGAGGTTTCGGAGGGAGGGAGAATTATGGAATGCAGTAGTAATAAGTAATCGATATCAAGTACATAGTGTTCAGCCCAATTCTTTATAAGTTTTCCGTGAATAAATGACACGATTTTTTAGATAAATAAATAAATAAAGTAATTTTGGTAAAGAAGGAAGTAATACTCCGTAGATAATAGATATCTATATATATGCATAAAAATTATACACGGCACAATTTAACAGATAATTAAAACTTGATAGGAAAGAAAAAACTAAATGGTTGAATTAAATTCCATCTAAATTCTAAAGTATGTCTATGTACAGAAAATCCTGCCGGGGTCAACTATTCAAAGGAATCAAAGCCAAAATGTTGAAGACAAACAAAAAAGAAAACGAGTGAAGAATTATATAGATTGAGATGGGCAACCCGGGAAATACTCCGTATGATATTATGGGCCATAAAAGTCTGGGCAATGAAAAAGTGTGGGCCGCTTTACATTACTTTAATGATGGATAATAATGGATGCGGGGATTGTGGAGACTGGCCGGCCCGGCGCTGAAAAAATGTCACTTTAAATTTGCGGTCATTTTCAAAATCGGTAAAACTTAGGCTATGTTTGACACACATAAGTCTATGTCTTATAGTTTTTGTATTATATAAAAAGTCTTTAAAAGCTTATAATTATATGTTTGGTATGACAATTTTCAAGAGTTTTTAAAAAAAGAAAAGATCTTTTTTCAGATGCTACAGGGGTAGCATCTGAGAAAAGTCTCTGACTTTTAGCATTAATTAGTCCCGACAGCTTGCATACCAAACAGAACTAAACCAAACAGTCAGTTTTTTAGCAAATAGCTATTACCTTTTACTTTTAAGATCTTTCTAGTCACAAAAAGCTAACAATTACTAAAAAGTTTGTAAAAGTATCTTTTCAGCTAGTTGTGCCAAACATACTCTTATACGGAGCAGGTATTTGAGACGTAATTAGAATTAAATAAAGATAAAGAAATTTTCAATCCAATTGAAAACAACTTTCGATATACAGAGTCTTATAACAACTCAAAAATTTACAATGAATACAGAATGAGCCTTTTTTCGGCTTATTAGACTTATTGATCAACTTTTTCATCAAACATCTAACTTTTGATTTCTCGCGCTAAATAATGTAATAATAAGAAAATGTAAGTTTGTAGTTACTTTTCTTTATGTATTAGCTGAAATTACTGCAGAAGATCATTTTAGCTATTTCTATACGTAATTTTTTCTTTACTTTATTAATTAAATATATTTTAAATATAATTTTTTCAAAAATCAACAGAATCGGCCAACGAAAATTTAATAAATTTCAGCTGGATTAATCGATTGAACGATTTTGACATTTCTAAACGGGCTCAATAACTTATCATTGTTATCAATATAATATGGATTGGCATCTCATCGAATAACAAAAAAAAAGGTTGTTGCGTATACACTGTAATTACTTTTGAATGTAAGAATTTCAGACCAATGAAAGTCTGGCTTGGTAAAAAAAGATGCCATTAATCAAAATTATTAGGTTCCAAAAAAGAAGTAAAACAACTCCGTAGAAAGAGTTCTGCTGTTCGTCAACTTTGTCACTCTGTCCTAGAGGTCGTTCGGTACGGTATACCTTATATTTTTTCTCATACCTTTGTCATACCAAAACTTTCGGTATGCAAAATTTGCATACCTTTACCTTACCGAAGTTTCGGTATACCGCATTTCGGTATACCGAAGTTTCGGTTCGGTAACGGTACGGTATCGGTAAATTACCGTGCATGTCTCCCAATACAAAAAATTATCATTGACTAACGAAATATACTAAATCGTTATTACTATCGACATATTGAATCTATTATTAAAATGTTACAAAATAACAATTATAATCTATTGATGTCAATTCAATATTGAAGAATAACTATTATTAGTATATTTAAGGAGTTCAACATGCCACATATTAAAAAGTTACACATTCTCCTAAAATAACTTAAACAATATAGATATAATTAAATCAATAGTGATCTCTAACAAAAAAAATAAAACTATTCGAACAACATGGATATAAAATCATTTATTCCTAATATGATATTGTGCATTCGGTCATTTTTTATAATTTTTTAAAAATTGAATAAGACTTTCGGACAAAGTTGTGTGTCTCGACTCGTGGAATCCCTATGTAAATACACTTGTCACATAAGTGTATCTCTCTTCACTCGTCAGCTACTTAGCGGCTCAGCCATCACGACTTGCAAGCTCTTGGAACATGAT